GGCCTAAACAGTAATGGTGGAAATGTTTGCCTAGAAAATTATATGTTTTAGATTAGCCATTCTCACTGGGCTTGCATGGGAGTGTAGAATGCATAGGGGTAGAGTCATTGAATATTGAGGTAGATAAATGTTCGATGAATAAAAGAATTAAAGACGGGAATGTGAAATTGAGGCGACAATCGGATCAGATCATTATTGAAAGGCAAGCAGGCTTGAACCAAATGGCCTACACGTGTTTCTAATTCATACGTATTTGTATTAATTGTATAAATAACAGTTTGATTTATTTCTTCTTTTAATCATTTTTCAGAACGTATCCAGTTGTTTGTGGTGGTTGTTTAATCATGAGCCAGGTCGCCTTTACGTTGAGCTACAGTTCTTCTGTATAATCTTTAATTTTGGTCAGGTTTGTGTTTCTGATATGACTGCTTTGTCTCCGATATTTCAACAGGAATTGATTTAGTGATAAATTTCAATCTAATTGCTAAATAATAAACCTACTTTTCTGTTTCCTTTCAGGGTTTTATTTCTTTTGGCATATTTGGGCTTGATAAACATTTAATCATACTTTCATGTAAAAAGAGGTAAATAATTTTCTTCATAAAGCCAAATAGTCCTGTCTCTCACTCTTAAAAGAAGTGACAATTCAGGTCGCATTAAACCAACAAGCCGAGGATTTCAAATGGTGTCTTGCTACTGACCATCACTACAACTTGTTAATCACAGTTACACAAGCTTTTCCAGCCTTGGAAAACTTGAAATAATCAAAAAATATGGTTTGCTATTTAAGTAATCTGTTTAGCTGCAGTCATGAGATCCATAGGTTATTCTCTTCTACCATTCTGGCTGAAATGTAGAAACCTGGTTCGCCAGTGGTACAGTGAAGGATGTCAAAGGGGACAAAATATAAAAAAAAATGTTGGAATGCCAGAGGATTGCTATATTAGCATAAAGCTTTTATGCATTTGTCTATGATGTTCTGACTGTCTACATATCTTTCTTTATATGAACATGTAAAATGGGAGCTCCTTTTGTAACTTGTCGATGGACAAATCTACTTGTCAGTCTGTGATAACACAAGTGCTTTCACACTGAGTGAAGAGTGCAATCTGAATGTGACAAGTTTACAAACACGTTTTCTGTTACATATATGGAAATAGAAGATTATAATGGAAACGTTTGACAGATATGCATGTCAGATTAAATCTTTTATATCTATTTTATAGTATGCATTATATTGATAAAGGCATCTTGTGTAATTTGGATTGGCATAAAGCAATGATTCATGTAACATCTGTTGATCCACACTGGTGGAATCTACATTTCTATTCCCATTATCCTGGGTGAAGTTTTTTTTTTTTTTACTTTTGTTATACTGTTGGCGAACTGCTTTCATGCAGTTAAACAATACATTATTTTCAGCCTATGACTGAAAATATTATTGTACTCTTCGTGCAGCTACCAGGATGGGTTAGCAGGACTACCAGGCTGGCAGAAAGCAAACTAGATGGCCCATTTTTGTTTAACAGTTCCCATGTTCCAACCCAAGCATGATGCAATCAGCTGAAGTTGAGGATTACCTACATTTGGTATATTTTGGCATGTCTTTCATTAATAATTTCTGGTTAACTTGACAGACTGGAATTCCTATTGCACGGAAGAAACATAGGACAGACCGATGATACGTTGACTGATGACATAAGATTGACTTGCCAACAGTTTTCACAATATCATAAGGGTCAATGTGCCAGAGACATCGTCAAAGAGAGGAGGTATGAATTTAAGTTAGCATGCCTCATTGTGCTCATCAACCTTGGCATTGGCAATTAATTCATTGCATTTTATTAATTTGCTTGGACTTACTTCAATCTGAAAATTTTTGCATGAATTTTCTAAAATTGACTAATATTCTTAGTACTTATTTTTAAAGGCTGGAATCTTGATATTATTTGAATTCACCACATTTTCTTTTATTCCTTTAATATTTTGCTCAACAATATAATGTTTAATTGTGGTTCAGCACATTCATGAGTAAGCCAATAGACATGTTGTTTGCAGAAAACTTAAAAATATATGTTGTATTGAGAACAGTACTATTAATACTTTATTTAGAAATACATTGCACATTTGTTAGTACATTACTCTGCAAAAACACACTATTTGTGCTTACTAAATTTTTCTTTTTCTAGTGTTTTTATGTTATGAATGGTATGCTGTTTGAAACCGGGATGAATAATTTGCACAGTGTAACACTTGAAAATTGCACTTCATTTATGTTTGAAACAGAATAAAGATGCAAAATTCTGGCTTTAGCCAGTTTTCTCAAATGATTTAATAAGTATTAAACAATAATGAAATAAGTATTAAATAATAAATTGATCCATTATTATGGATATCAGTGGTAAGTAAGTTTGGTTTCACTTCAGTGCTGTCAGCAAAATAGCAGCATTTAATTCTTGCCACAATCATTTTTGACACGTTAGTGTCTCACAGCGCATGGTACATTTTTGAAAAATGTTTTTCCTAATCACTCCAGGGATGGAACAAGAAAAGCTGGTTATTCTTCAGTCATAATCCGGCCCCTCTGGTTTGCATGTTATACATGGGTGAGGTGGGGTGGGGGCTTGGGTACAGTAAGGTTGGTGCAAGGGTAGGTATGTGCAGAGTACAAGAGTTTAGGATGAAAAAGGCAGAAGTTTGAGCTTCCTTTATGATGTGTTCAATTCCACAGCTTGCATATTGTCTCCTGACAAGTTTCCTGCCTGGAAGGGAGTTTGATTGACAGGCTTCACTTCAGGATAGGTGCAGAGGACTCCAGAGCCGGTCACAGGTGTAGGTCCAATCCCCAACCACAGGTGTCTTTGTATTAGGGTGGGTGATTTTGTAGAGCCACGGGGAATCATACCTGCTTCTCCTGGGCCAAAAGCAGTGCTGGGAAAATATTTAGTTTCTCCCTGAAGTTGTCTACACATTCTCTTGAGGTCCAATAAACCTAGCCAAGCCAAGTTGAATCAACAAAGCGGGTTAAATCAGAAGTTATCAGTCTAATCAAAATATTTAAATTGCCAATCCATCTCCCGAGAGCAGATTGGCTGCCTGCCCCTTACCTCATCTCTATTCAATCCAAAAGTGGTTGAGAAGAGATGGGTTGGAGTCTGGTTTGAGAGTTTTCAAATTTTAATACTTTATGAAGCTGCTTTGGGAAGTGGGTGCTTTAAGATTTGCCATCCCTCAGAACAGATTAAGATTCTCCATCCATCAGGATAGATTACCTGAAGTTGCTGGAATATGTTCCGAGGGACCAGGGCATGCTCAAAATCTTGGGAGGAGTGCAACGCCAAGGTGAGGCAGTAACTGGGCTTTTTGGGAGCACAGCTCCCTCCCCATTGGCAGGTAAAGAACTTGGATTTCAGGCGTGAGGCAATTTCTCTGTTGAATGTTGTGCAGGTCTAGCCCATTCCACTTCATCTGAAGGTCCAAGATGAACCTGTCCACATGGACACCATGTACAAAACCCTGGAGAGAGAGAGAATGAGAGAGTATGTGCAATGCTGCCTTCAACATGATGGGCACCTTTCTGCATAGACCCTCAGTATACAAACATCAAATGTCACTATGGTTCTACCTGTCCCCAATGTTGCAAAGGATGGGCTGGCCAAGTAGTTGGATGATGCCATATCATCTGTCCTTCATGAAGAAATTTGCAAAGAAAAACACCTTTAACCACAAGTTTTTTCAGGAAGTGGTCAACATATAGCCTGTGGGAAAAGAAGAGGGGGTGGATCTTGTCAGGTTGTTCCCTGAGCAGAGAAACCCTTGGTTTTCTTAATCTGGGCCTGGATGTTAGATGAGCAGTCTTACAACAAAATGGTTTTGGAAAGTACGTGTGAAAGTTGGACTTTCTGTGTAACTTTTGAATGATACTACAGTATGGTTTACTTGAACCCAGCTTTAGATAGATACATTGATTTGGGCATCATTCGACCCAAGTTTTAATTTCCTACCATGCCACCTTGTTCTACTGTTTTTTGGTATTTCCTTTCCTATGAAACAGTGATGTGAGACTTGCAGACCAAGTGGATGAATCATTCCTTTGACACAGGTGTGGTGCAGAAACCTTCGCAGATGTCTTCCAAGGCTGTGATCTAGTGGACTGGTTGATTCAAGTTGGTCTGGCCCATGACCGAAGTGAAGCTGTTAAGTATGGAGACCGATTACTAGAAGGTGGTGTCATTCAACACATTGCCAACGAACATTCATTTCAGGATGAATCTTTGTATTATCGCATGTTGCAGATGAATGAAGCATGATTTGTACTATTAGAGCTGCTTTAAAGCTAGAGATTAAATCTACAAGATTTTCTTCATTGCTATAAACCACAGTATGATATACTTTAAATTTCTGCCTTTTTAAAATACTTCACACTATTAACCAAAGAATTTGGAATCCCATTTACTAAATAAAATTATTAAGTTTGCTTCCAAGTTTTTAAGATGTAACCTCATGCTGCTTAATGCATTGAATGTAATCTCATATCCATCAAAATGTTAAATGTGACAGTAATGTCAAGGTGGACAATGATTTTAGCGTTTGCCTTCCATTGTATTGTAAACGTATTTGAGTCAAAGTGATGAGATCACAGTGAAGTATTAAGTTAACATTTCATGTTCTATTTGTTAGAACAGAAAAGCTGAAAACTGCTTTTGCAACAGATGGGCGTTCTTTATGGAATTAGACACTGACATTTAAAAGCCTTCAATCTTCCATGTGTTCACTCATCGCTGTACCAGCCTTGGGATTTCTCTTTAACATTAATAAAAAAAAAAAAGAAAAATTGACTAAAACAGGGTAAGAAATACAATGAACTGAACATTACACGAGTCATTAATTAAATGTAAATTACATTCTTAATGACTCCAGTCTCTATATGTATCTTCATAACGGGTATGCTACAGTTTGCATAACTAAATGTTTAAAAATTGCACTTTAAGTTAAAAGGGGTTCTTTTAAATTCAATATAAGACATGTAATATACTGTGAGAGCTGAATCTTTTAACTTTATTTATCCAAAGTATCTGTTCAACACTGAATTGTCAAAGATCAAGAAAGAATCTGATAGAATAGAAGTGGGTTGTCATCCCAATTTCTTTTTAACTTGCTTTTAGCTGTATAGTAAAATAATAAAAAACATATCATTTTTTGGAATGTAAGGTTCTGGTATTATAATATTTTGATATGTTTAGAATGTAGCCAAGTCCTGTACAAACGAAGAAATAAAACATTTTTAATACTTGAGTTTCTAGAAGTCTGGAATAGTTTTGTATTTCAAATGGGTAGTTAGATAATATATGGCTGAATTTAAAATTCAAACTCCATTTGTCTTCATTTAAACATTGCATATCTCATGCTGAAGACTGATAGGGTCTTAGATTATTGATCTGTATTTGGTTTTCTTCTGTAGCATTTTTTTTTTTTTTTTTTTTTTTTGAAATTTAGTTGTAGTTTAATAATTTAAGTAGTCAAATTAAGACACAGTGTGGAAACAGGCCCTTTGGCCCAACAAGTCCACACAGGCTCTGAGCATCCCATCCAAGCCACCTGATCAACACATCCCTGAACACTAAGGGCAATTTAGCATGGCCAATCCATCTAGCCTGCACATCTTTGGATTGTGGGAGGAAACCGGAGCACCCGGAGGAAACCCCCACAGACACAGGGAGAATGTGCAAACTCCACACAGACAGTCACCCAAGGATGGAATCGAAACCGGTCCCTTGTGTTGTGAGGCAACAGTGCTAACTACTAAGCCACTGTGGCTTTGCCTGGAGAAACTTCTAGGGTATGTGCACATTTAATGAAAGTGCTCAAAAAAGATGGTTTTTTTAAGCTTAAATTTGTAAATTTGTTAAAAATCAATTCCTCTTTAGGTTACATTTTCCACACAATGATGCAATTGATCCAAACCTGAATTGGAATCTAGGCAAAATGATAAAGTGAAAAAATGCTGTTTTGACATTACTGATATACATTCCAAATGCACTGGCCTTCTCTGAAAATACTGGCCAGGAACCACATTCTTTTTTCTTTTGAGTTGTTTAAACATAATGTATTGATTTTTTTTTCCTAGGCTAAGGATTTACTGTCAAGATTTTTAAGTAATTTACATAATAAAGTATAACTGATTGGACCCATTTCCTCTGGTGCTGCAATAGCTTTAGGCTTACTCACGTCAATGCATAAGGATAGACTTTGATCTTGACTGAAATCATTCTGCATTGATTGTCTTTTTATGGACCCTGAGCTGCCATGTCTGTCTCAAGTGGTCAGATATATCTTTAATTTGAAGCATTAATTGCCTGCAGTAATTAGGAGGATAAACTGTGGTGTTATCCCTCAAAAAGATTAATGTATTATTAAACTAAATCGGAATTGGACAATCTGCTGACAGGTCATAGGAGATTTGCATTTCCACTTAGTGAGTACCATGTAGGGCCTCATTTTATTGGAACAGTTGCCACCCAATTCCAGAAAATCTTTCATAGGAAGTGCATACTGTTAGGACTAAGAGATGAGCCTATTGTAATAAATAACGTGCATGCAATATAGTCTAAAAAAAATGCTGTATACTCATCTGTTGATTTTCAAGGTATCAATTGTGAATGGCACTATGAATCATTGTGTTCTGTCATTGCTGTGTCCTTTATTCTTCACTGATAAGAAAGCTGGGTGCTCCGCCTTAATCTGCTGTTTGAGCACAGACCTGATTGGAAAGAGCATCAGCATGACGATGAGAGTGCGCTATGTAAGCCCAAGTGGGTTTTCTCAGGTGATTTTATACTGCTTGCCTCATTACATATGCACCAGCCCTCTTATACTTCCACTTTCACGCAACCTTGCACTCAGCAGTGATAGAAATAGTTGTCACTACTGGGATTTTCTGGGATTCTTGCTGTTGGCACCATATTTAAATGCCAGCTGGGGACTGCCAATCTCACTTGCCATGTGGGAAGAATTGCCTCAGATGGCCAACAGAGGCAATTTGGACAGCTTAGGACTGCTGCCTCACAGCACCAAGGACCTGAGTTCAATTCAGTTGGGTGACTACTTGGAGTTTGTACATTCTCCCCATGTCTGTTTGGGTTTCCTCTGGGTGCTCTGGTTTCTTCCCACAATCTAAAGATCTGCAGGTTGGGTGGATTGGCCATGGTAAATGTGAGGTCATGGGGATTGGGTTGGATGCTCTTCAGGGGGCATACACTTGATGGAGTGAAGGGCCTCTTTCTGCACTGTAGAGATTTGTACATTTTTATGAATTTGGCACCCGATTTGCTTAGAGGGCTCTCAACGGTTGGGGAGAAGATGTAAGCATCGTCTTTGTGTGTGTGTCTGATCCACTTGCTTATTTAGTGGAACTTGTTTTACATTAATAATGAGACATATTTACCATGAGACATGGTTTATTACCTTTGAAAGACAAGATATATATAATATGCGACTATAAAGCCTGTCATTCCCTCTAATTTCCAGAGTAACCTTACAGTTCTTAAATGCCTATGCCCTTACACTGGTTTAAAAATCTGTTTTGGAAGCACAAGATGATTAAAAGAAAAGTTTATACTACCCTGATAATAGCTGGTTGAACTGAAGTTGAGGCTGTTCTTCCTGCTTCTCAGTCCTGATGTTTTCTCTGACGTGTGTGAGGGATCCTTTGGTTTTGAGTGGCCTCTTTTAACTACAAGTAGTTGAAAACAAAGTGTTGGAAATCACAGCAGGTCAGGCAGCAGCTGTGGAGAGAAAGCAAGCTAACATTGAGTCTAGATGACTCTTCGTCTGCGTTTTGTCATAAATAAATTATTTATTTATGATACTGTCTGACCTGTTGTGATTTCCAGCACTTTTTGTTTTCAGTACAGAACAGATGCCAGCGTCTGCAGTAATTTGCTCCTCTTTTAACTGGCCATCTGGGTCATTCCCAAGTCTAGTGGCTTAATGGCCATTTGATGTAACAATATAATTGTCATAATTCAGTTCCTCCAATGACAATTGAGTTTCTGTCCCAGGAAAAATATTATAAGACAGTATTGAATATTGTGATTTCTCTATTGATTGAGCTAACCCTAGGAACCAGGCTGTCTCAAAAACAGTTCTACGGAAAATCCAATCTATTGCTCTACCCAAAACTTACCTGCATTGTATCATCAGCACCTACTTAATATTCAGTCAAGGTGAATGGCTTGCATGTCTTAAAAACCAAAAGAACTGCAGATGCTGGAAATCAAAATCAAAAACAAAAACAGAAATTGCTGGAAAAACACAGCAGGTCTGGCAGCATCTGTGGAGAGAAATCGGTGAATGTTTTGAATCCTTTGACCCTGCTTCATAAGTCTCAAAGCTCCAAGCCTCCTAGCTGAATATCTCAGTTCCACTGTCTCATTAACACTTATTCAATATAATCGATCAAGGTAACTGGTTAGCATACCTTTGTGTCTGGCTTGATCCAATTCCCAGCATGCTGTTCTGTTGGCAAGTTTTCACAGTATGCCATTTAGTTGGCCAATGTTGCTTTTAGTGTCCCAAAAGAGCTGTTATTTGAAAGGGACATTCCATTACGTACAAGGAGGACTGTTCTCTTTGCTCAGGACTGTCAGTAGACCTTGCCAGCCCTGGTTCAAACTTGCCACTCTGGTCGGTATGGTGTCTATGGTCTGGAGGAATGCTCAGCAATGCAGGAAGAGGGTTAATGACCTTCCGCAGACTGCAAGTGTAAGTGCCACCATCTTCTGTCTGCTACTGCACCCACCTCATACCAAGGCTAATGCTCTGCCACCCTCACTACTGCATGCAGCAACTTTCCTCAATCACACAATTCCTCCAAGAAAATCATACTATTTTTTTATCCACGTCAAGAATTTCATTTTTCTGGTCTCACCATATTTTCCCAACTGGATCTGCATTTCCCCATGTTATTCAGGGGCTGGAAAAATTCAGTCTATGATTTCCATTTAAGAAAACCACATTTACTCTGCCTGATTACCTCAAACTTTTTAAAGAATCCCTATTACACCCCACCCCATTATAAAGGCACCATGATCCCAGAGGTCCATAGGGCTGCTCTCTCATCAGAGAGCGAGAGAAATGACTGTGGTGAGTTTAACCTAAGGGTCACCCCACCTTAGATGAGGGGCAAGAACGAGTTGGTGGGACCTCAGCTGGTTTAATCTCTTTATTAAAAGCTTTTAACAACTTCGATACGATAACGTAAGGTAAAGGGCCTGTAGACTCCTGTTTTCGGTCTTTTTGAGTGAAGAAATTGCATTCACTATCTTCTTATTCAAAGGAACTGTCTGGAATGTAGGCAATTTTGGAAAATTAAAACCAGTGCATCTACTATCTCACTAGCTACTTCTTTTTAGATTCTACAATGAAGCCCCAGTATCTGGGGTCTTGTAAGCCTACAGCTCCAACAAGCCTAGTACCACTTCCTTGGTGATTACAATTTTCTTGTATGTCTCCCTTCCATCCATTGCCTGATTTATAGCTATTTCTGGAGTGTCACTTGTATCCTCTACAGTGAAGACCAATGCAAATTACACCTGCCTTCTCCCTTTTCTTTTATTAGTTCTCCAGACTCACTTTCTATAGGACCACTCACTTTGACAACTTTAAGACATCTACAGAAACTCTTACTCTGATTAATTATATTTCTAGCCAGCTTTCATACTGTCATTTTTTTCTTTCCTTAACCTTTCGTCATTGTTTGTTATTTTTTATGCTCTACAATCTTTTCACCTGCTGTTCATCTTTGAACAATTGTGTTTAATTTTGATAGTTTTTTTTTAGTTAAACATAGTTGATAGGTCCCCCGCTTGTTTTTTTTTTCCTTTCTTATTGAGCTGTAACTAATCTCTTCTGAAATTTCCCCTTAAATGTCTGGAACTTCTATTGACTAATCCCTTCACCTTATTTGCCAGTTCATTTTAGCTAGCTCTGCTTCTTTTCCTCATAATTAGTCCCACCTGACCTAGAGGTGTGTCATTACTAATCAAAGGACTAGTCTTCACCCCCACTCTTCTCTTCCTCAAATTGATTTTTACATTCAGTCATATTATGATCACTGATACGTAGGATTAATTAATGACCTTAGTGAAGGTGCCCCTATCTGGTCAGCTTCAGAATATGCTATTCTAAGAAATGATCAGAAAAACATTGAGCTACTCATCTAGGCTACTTTTGTCTATCCAATCTTTCCAGGCTAGCTGTAGTCTAAAATCCCCCATGAGTATTACCATGTTTGT